ACAAACTAAACACAAGAGAACAGAGAAATGAAAGAAGTGGCTCCAACTTTAAGAAAGCACACACAGAAAAAAAACCAAATCCACCCCAGACCTTTCTTCAGTATAAGCAATCAAAATTACAAAAATAAGTAGAGATTCCTACAGGAGACAAATGCTTTACCTTTACAAGAACAACTCTATATTCCAACATGTATCAGTTAAGAGAATAACCCTAACTCATGGAAAGTAAACGCTTCTCATCATTCAGATCTGTCACTCTGATCCTACAGGCATTAAGAGTTCCCTCAGTTAAAATAATAATGCCACCTATAGTTCTCTTACCTGGACATCAGTGCACATCAGTTTCAAATGGGAGCTCCTTGCCTAATCCTGTTTTTCTGATGTAGATTTAACATACTTAGCTATGCTTCCTACAGCTGAAATAATTTACCTTCCTAAAAAGTTTCGAAGAATTTCAACATCTGATGCAATTTTTTTTAAGGTAAATAAAATCTTCATTACAGTGCAAGAGAAAAAGTAATATAAAAATCAGGAGACAGAAAATAGTTGTTTCAGTTACCTTTGAAAGGCATCTACTGTTCCCATCCAAATCAATGTTTAGGTAAAATGCTAAATAATACTCTTGCCAAGTGCGCCCCTGCGTGGTGACCAACATCTGTGCAAAACCAACTGGCTTCACAGCTCACAAGGGACTGTTCTGTCTCCAAACCCACAGTGAGTCAGTGCTCACACCTGCCCAAGTACTGGGAAAGACTTCTAGCAGAAGTGTCAAAACCACACCCAACATGCTTCCCTACAGGCACATTTCATAAATTATGGTCCCGGTCAAAATTATTAAGAGTACACTTTCCTCATACTTCACTTTGTTTATTAAAACTTCCTCAATATTCTACTTGCACTTTTCTTCTAAACTTAAAATTTACTGATTTAAAATAAGAAAAAAATAACACTTCAAAGGAAGAAAACAGACACTTATGGCTCAACAGCAATTTGACAAAGGCCCATTCATGCAGTCTTTAACAGCACTGTCAAAATTTAGGCTTAGAAGAGAGGTAACAGATGTTTAAATATGTAAAATAGCAAAGGTATTAAAACAAACAACACACACTCAGTAATAGTGAAACATATTGAAAGCCTGTATCTTGCAATAACCAGCTGCAGCACCATATAAAAATTGATAAAAAACAAAAGTGGAACTTGAAAGGACTGTCAGAAAATGTTTGTTCACTTTCCAAAATTCCGCAGAAAGAATACTGTTCAAATGTGCAGAAGAACAAATTTACACAGAAATAATGCAACTGCATACCAAGTTCATTGCTATACTTCTTTCTTCTGCATAGGTAGAATATCACCCCATTCTTCCTATTTTTGCCTTGTTTTATTTTTAAATTATTTCATTACTTTAAAAAGTTTTAATTTCATTAGGATTCAGAGTCTAGTCCACACCAGGAAGTACACAATCATTTCCATAATGAGCAGGCTTTGATTGTAGTACTTGCATTATTACATGTGCCAGTTACTACAATGGGACAGAGAGATAAGAAAGTGAAAAAAGACCAATCAAAGTTAGGGTATTTTATCATAGGAACATATTTTGGTTTTTTACGTTTCCTGGTAAGATTAAACAGTGTTGAAGTTTTATAAAAAGGCTATTACATCTAACACTGGTTATCAACAGAAAAAGCAGAGAATTAATATATTAAACATTACATTTTTATATTAAAACAAAACTTCTCTTGAATGTATTTTCATTGTTAACAGGTGTGACTCCATTTTAGATATTGAGAACTTTTAAATAGTTAACATAAGAAATACCTTTACTACACACAGATTACATTTTTATTTCAGGTCAAGGCAAACCTGTCTCTATCACATTCTTTATTTTTTTTATGAGTTATTTTTATTTTAGAAAGATTTACTATATTCTTTTTTCCCCTAAGAATAAGCTAAGCTGAAAATACTAACCAGAAACAATGGTCCTGAGAACAGAACGGATAATGTTTTGTAAGACAAGGGTATTATAGTTCTGCTAATGCAGAAAAATGCCCAACAGAGGGTGATAGAGACCACAAATTCATTAGGCACAACTCAATTATCTGACTTAAACCAAAAATAAAATAATGTGCAGCTAAGGAAGATCCTCCTACTAGAAAAGTTTGAACAAGCTTCATTACTTAAGAAACATTTTCAGTTAAATGTACATGCTGACAACTTTTAAAAAAATATTCTCTTAAGCATCTGACAGTACAAAACTTCAATTATTTGATTCTCTAACCATTACATTCTTCAGCTACATCCATGTTCACTCTGCAGCATATAAACCACCATTAAGTAAAATTATTTCATTTATTTTTAAGAGTGTTGCTGTTACAGAAGTGAGATACAAACTCTTGAAATTCAAGGACATGGACAATATATGCAACTTAATATTTGTGTATCAGAATTATTAATCTTTAAATCATAGGGAACATGAAATTTTACATATGGAATAGATAAAAAAGGAGCAATACATGTAATTTTTATATAGATGAATCTATCCTGAAACTTAAAGTACTTATATGAAGAATAAAGGACATCTCATCTAACATCAACTTTTCTCAAATGCAAATACGACATTTGACAATTTAGAGGTCAAGTTTCACCAGATCTGTAGCACTGACTTTCTAACCCTATACTGTGGGAATCACTGAAACAAAGGGTGAGTCAACAGTGACAATGCTTTAAGATACAATGAAGCTGTAATACTATGTTTTCCATTATTTTGACACATTCCTTATGTTTCTCTGAATATTCCCTCAAACAGTAACTCAAAACTTTGAAATACACCTGTGGTAGTTTTAATCTAGGCCTTCCTTGGTGACCAGTTTGTAACCAAGGAAGTGGCCATGTTCCCAGTATTCCATATGATTTTTATGTAAACCAAGGTATAAATAAGAAGGGAGGAGAGGCCTTCGCTCTCTTCTCTTCAGCGAGGTTCAGGGCAGCGGGTCCTTATGTTGGTCTCGCTTATCTAGAGCCTGAGGCCTTCAGCGACCGCTGGTCTGCCACGCGGAAGGTTTGGAGAGTGCTGGCTGTGTCTGGCAATCTTGCTTTTCTGAGGGACGTGGTGAGATTTATTTTGCTAGTTCTTGGGTTTGATTTGACAAACCTTAATTTTACTGAGATTGAAAGTAATGAAGGAGTGAATTGCTACAGATCAAAAGAACTGATCACAAAAAGCTGGAAAACGTCTGAATTGAGTCCCTTTCAGAAGAAAAATAGAAACCTTTTAATATTTTAGCTAAATATATTTCCCCAAAGCCTCCAATGTTCAGCCTCCTGCACAAGCACAGTTAATACCACTGTGTTTGAGGACTCTGTCAGCTCCCTTCACTTCCTCCAGCTCAGGCTCTCATTCCTCTTTGCTGTACTAGAAGCATTCCCAAGTGCCTTTACCTGCCTTATCATGGCTTTCTCATGGTAATTTATTGTTTATGGGGCACTGGGCACTAGTACAGAAGTGGTTCACTGACTCTCTAAGAATGACAGACTATATCATTTCATTAAGCAATAAGCACCACTGAGGAACAGCTTCAATAAAAATCAAAATCTGCATGTTTAAATCTGTTTCAACACCACAGGAAAAAAGAAAGAGAGTGGGGGTGGGGAGGTGACCAAACACTACAGCAAAAAAACACTCCAGCCTAGGAATGCCTATGGGAAGATCTCACTGCATCCTCATCTAACGGAGGGTAACAGAGCAGATGGAGTCAGATTCTCAGAGCTGTGCATACAGAGAGACTAAGGGCACAAACTGCAACAGAGAGAATTTCAATGCAATTTCTAGCCCACACCTCCCATACAAATGTAGCAGTTTATACTGCTGTAATTACATAGTACTGGGATGATTGCATGGTAGCTGGTATATTAAATCTATTTTTCTGTTTTCTGAGTCATAGATCAGAAGTGTCATTAAAACAGATTTCTGGCCATTTCTGAATTGGTTTGAGATCAAGGAAAGTTTTGAACTACAATCAACTTCACACAGCTCTATCATGTGCAAAGGAAATTCAAAGCTATGGCTTTCCTTGCACTAAGAAACACAGAACAGAAACAAACACGGCACTGTCCAGATGTGCACAAGTAAAGAGGAATCTGCACATGCAGAGGACAAGGTTGCATTCATAAGTGATTTCCCCTGGCAAACCAACTATTTAAACTGAAATTGACCTTCACTATTTGAGTTCATGAATCACATCTAACCCACTTCTGCTTCTTTTACCAACATATGTAGCAAACATCAGCCAAGTGTCAAATGCCCCTTGCTAGGAATATATTCCTTTTACTAACTTTACTTGAAAGATTACAAACTTCTTTTTGTTTTCTAAACACTGTAACATTTTGTTTAAGATTGCTACCATCTTGCAGAAAGTGTATTTATTCCTTGCAAAGGGAATCTACACAGTAAACTGCAAAAAGTCAACACAGGGGCTCCTTCTGAATCTGTGAAAAGTAACCATTCACTCAAATATTTTCAAAGAGAACATCACTGCTGAGTAAATGGAGAGCCAGTAAGACCTGAGCCAAATGTGGACCAATGAGAAAAGTTAGACTGGCAGTAGCTGTAAAGCAATCAAGAGAAACCATTCTGTTGCAGACTGAGAAAAACATTTCCACTCTAAAATTAAATCAAAGAAAGATACTGTATTTCTTTCTTATTTAAGTTCCAATCTTTTCGTTCTGATTCTTTCATAGGATCGCTTCTGTAGAAAGCAACATATCTGGGAAAAGCTCATTGGAAGTCACCTTAATGGTGACTAGAACATGTCCTGAATCCATCCTTTAGCATTGCATTGTTTAGTCTCAGTAGACAGAAACATTAGTTAAGAAAAAACCCAAAAATGTAATAATAAAAGTTAACATTTTTTTAAAAGGAAATGTGAAAAATAAATAAAAAAGCTGAAGACAATTTCACAGGTTTAGACAGTGCACAGCAAAGTGGGCAGAGCCAGCAGCCTTACCTTGCACTGCCCTGCCACGCAAATGGAGGTAGCATTCTGGTCACAGGGGGTCCCGTCTATCACCTTCTCAGCCTGCCGCACGTAGAAGCGGTATCCGATGGCACGGCAGTTCAGCTCACACTTCTGGCTTCCCTTCACTGGGGAAAGACACAAAAGTCACCATGACAAAGACTACAGCAGGAGGCTTAAAAAGCTCATTAAACTAACAACAAGGTCTGAGAGGAAGGAACAAATAGGCCAACTGACCACATCGAATGGATGGTGATTAAAAACCGACTCCGAGGTCAGATACAACACACCTCAGTTATTAATGACAGAGACTTCACTAAATGACCAAAAGCATTCGTAGCTCCATAAAAAATGTTCACCAGTTAGGCTTCTTAAAGCATAATAGTATGTTACGGCATTTCATGACTCCTAAGTGGCAGCAAAATTACACTGTAATCATACAGACATGCATCTAACCAGGCTCACTCATAGTCACTGGTCAGTTCAGGTCAATTAAGCATAATAACATCCAGCATCAGGAAACATATTAAACAAGATAGATGCAAATTTAAAAAAAATATATATTTTTCTCTTTATTTTTACAAGTTGCCCTTTGGTGACTATTTGTTAGGTCAGGAGAAAACAAAGGAAAAACCACAAAAACCCTCTTTAATTTTTAAAAATACATAAAACTCATCATTATGCAAACTCCCAAGATTTCTGCTGACATGCAACAACCAATAGGAAATCAGTCCACTGAACTCTGGGTGAGAGGAACACAAAAGACATGAAGCAAGAAATGTTATCTTCTCCTGTGAAAATCTGTTCTTTAAACAGATAGAGCCTAACACTCCACATCTCCTGCTGTCAAGTTTGTTAACACCTCTCCGTAGCCTTTCTATTGCAAATCATCTGTCACGTCAAAGTTGCTCATAGCTTATTACCCCTATTTGCTGACTGAAATAACAATATCTTCCGTATTTTTACACTATCACACAGTGGCAGTGAGGTATAAACAGAAATCCTTCTTCTGACAATATTTGCTGCCATAATAAAAAACTAAAATTCCCCTCACATCACCAAACTTCAACTCATGCCCTAAACTGAAACAGAAACCCACTACTTAAGCTGTCCAAGGAGGTGCTGTATACCCTTAGATAACCACTAAAACATTGTATTCACAGGATTTTCTACTTGACTTCAGTGGATTTTTGAATCTTCAGCTAAGACATAACAAAAGGTCAAAATAAATAAATGCAATTATATCAAATATATATTTAACATGTGGTTTCTGTAAGAGTACTGAACTTTCAGCTCAGCTTCAGTTACCCCCTGTGCAGACACAGGATTAGTGCAGCCCCATTCTGAAATCTGGATCTTCCATTTCTGCTCACCCAGCTATTTAACTGCCACCCATACACATCATCTACTGTGTCTGGCAATCTTCTGATAAAATCCTTAAAAACCTCTACTAATGTTAAGTGCTTTTTTTTGCAGAAGCCATGTTCAATTAGGTAATTTTCCATTGGCTACTTTGTTTTAAGATAGATTCACTACCTTATCACTCCAAGGACTTCACTTAGTTATTAAAAACAAACAAACTAACTAATAAAAAAACCACCTGAAGTATTTCCTGCAGTTCAATTCCCAAGTGTAACAGTTGGGTTTAATGACAAACTAAGCATTATTCTTAGCAGCTTCATCACTTCACACGTAACTCTATTCAGAATTCTCAAATAAATTCAATCCAGTTTCAGTGATTTATTACAATTTAAGTCAACTTGTCCTTTTCTGTTCCTGAAAGTGTCCTATTTTTATAACATGCAACACCAGCAATCAAGTAGCACCTCTAAAGTGTACATTTTCTTATCTTCCAATTCCCTAAAATCAAGTCAAAGAAACCATTTAGGGTTTCTGAAATATCCTTATCTTCTATGTTCATTCTCCTTAGTTCAAAGTATCTCAAAGCCTCACATTCCCATACTCTTCCTCTCCTGATTCTCTCCCATTTGTTTTTGATGTTTTAAAATATTTATTCTTTAAATTACCAGCTGTCCTTCCAGATCCCAATAAAAGTTTTGTGCTGCTCAAAGATGAAGAGATAACTGCTGAAGCATAGAATTTTTGTCTGGACCTGTCTCTTCCTTCACTTCTGCTGTGGTAGGTCAGCCCCCTGCATTGCTAACGCAGCACACTAACAATCCCAAACAGACTGAGATTACTTTAAATTATTCCCATTTTGTGATTTCTGTGTTTCGTTCTTTTTTTAGTAGAAACTGTTCCTGCTCATACAAAAAGAAATATTAGAACAGTCACTGGCTTTGACCTCAAATCAATCACTCAATCAATCAGACTTTAATGACAACCACACCCTATAATCCTTTAGCCTTTGATATTCAGATTCTTTTGATAAGGTACTACCTTGTTTAGGCATATACCAATTACTACTACTTAAAGACAATGTTCCCAGAGGTGAAAGATCAAAAAAAACTTCTTTACAAAGAGCAAAATCTATTAACTGAATTGCCCCTGTTGAATGAGAGGCATTTCCTACAGGAATTTTATGTCAGCATTATGTATTACTGTGTACGATGCAGAAATTGCTGCAGAACACATTGGAGAATTCCCATGAAAAACAAGACACCACAGTAGTAAAAAAGTACTCCATTGCTTATTAACCTCACATTTATGCTGACACCCTCTCTACCCTGTGTTTTGCCACAACTCTTGAGGTTTTATAGTTTAAGCAGTAGGTCAAGCTGCACTATTGGCTTGGCAACTGGACATAAAATGTCAATTAAACAAGGAGCTGTGAAGTGATTGATTCCACACAGGCATGATTTTTGAGTACCATGTCATCTGATCCCACACTTTACAAAAGGATCTATCTGACCTCTGGGAACACAGTAAGGCTTCTAGGTGAAGGCCTTCCAAACTAGCTGGCAGCAAGACACATTTCCACAAAAAAAGGGGCTCTTTTTAACTGTGACACATTCACTTGGACAGTTCAATATATAGGTACTATTTAACATGTCCTCCTAATGCATTTGCTTTTCATTCACATGTCCACCTTAACACAAGCAAGCCTTTGTGGAAATTCACACCTTATGCTACTTTATTAAAGAGTGAACTTGGGTGAAATTTAATGCTACCACACTGGTTCTGCCAGACACAGTCATTATTGGCTTAACTGAAGAAGGTACCTTTGGTAAATAATCCTGGTAATATGTAATGTTTGGTTTTCATTTTATACACTAAATAAGTATCTCAATCAAAAAATCAGTACTTTCCTTACAAAGTCTCAGGGATATCCCAATCTTCTCTAAACTGCAAGACTCAGGAGGTATTTTTCCAAATCCTCTGTTGAAACTTACCTTTCACCTTTCCTTATGAGGAAAAAGACCCAGCCATGCTAAAAGAGGGCCTCAGCACAGTTCCCCCACCTTCCACTTCGCCAGCAAAGACACTGAGACTTCATGTTTCATTACAAACTGCACCTGCTGTGTATCACAGGGCAGACATAAATGTTATCACACCATAACCAATGGCTGGAGTTCAAACTGGGTTGTCAGCAGCATTTCAGGCTGAGTTGTCTCTGCTGACCCTCTGGAGGGACAGCAGCAGCACATCCAAAGGGAAGCACAAGTGAGCAAGGGACAAACTGGGATTCACAGGCTGACATTCAAAGAATAATCTTGATCTTTTAATCCCACTGCTGAGAAAGCATAGGCTTGTCCAAGCCCACAACACACTCCTGGCTCGACGCAGTGTCACCCTGATGGGGCCAAGCAGGCCCAGCACTTCAGGCAGGTCTGGCCACTGCAGGCACCTCAGGGTGAGCGCAGCACCTACCAAATACGGTACATCCTAAGGGAGAAAAATCCCAGGAGAGACACTGAAACAAGCAGGACCATAACCAAAAACTCTCTGCAGCTGAACACACTTGTTCTTCTGTGGGACTCGCCCTGGGCCCAGCCATTTCCAGGAGCACAGCCCTCCTCGAGCTGCCTCCGAGAAGGTTCGGCCCTGAGGGAGCTCATGGCCACAATGAAACCACTGAGGGCCAAGCAGGGCTGGCAGCAACAGCACCATGTGAGGGGGACAAATCAGCCTCTCTGCACCACCTCACTCTCATCCCACTGAGAATGGCCCTCACTGGTTTCATTAAATGAAAGTGTAAGAAATCAGTGACCTCACAAAACACCCAGTCCAAATCTAAAGCCCATACACAGTTGAAAAGGCAGAAAACCACCTCTCTGGCAACACTCCTACTTCAGAGAGCTTATGAATAGACCTGTTTACATTTCACTGAGAAAGAATATTTCCACATGCTAACACTGTGCTGAGCTGCCCTGGTGCCATGGTGAGGGGCACAGTCCCCGAATTGCAGCCACCTTTCCTGATGCTGGGCAGGGCTGGCACAGCCCAGGGCAGGTCACTGTGTGTGGCTGCACATTCCACCTGTCACAGGACCAGAACCTCCCAGCCCTGCGCAGCCCCTGTCTCCACTCTCTGCTCAGGCCTTCCACCTCCTGTTCCTCCACCCACACACCAAAGCATGTGCGGGGAGGGTGCTTGGATTTCATGCCAGCTCTTCCCTTCCTTCATCTTCCTCTTCCAGGGCATTCTGCCACCTTCACCAATCCCCAGCCCAAGGAAAGGCTTCAGGAGGCACAGGCATGGTGGACAAGGAAGCCAAGCTGCAGATGACTTACTCAGCAGCAAGCTTGAAGAGATACAGAGAGAGCATGGCAGGTAGCTTGCCAATGCATGGAATTTCAATCTAATGATACTCTTAGGAAAAAACGTTACAGAAAAGAGCGTTCCAACTGCAATACCTTTGATAAGTAATGTATTCGGTTGTTCAAAGGGAAATTATTAAAATAACCACAGACCAAAAAAAACCCCAAAAAACCAAACAAACACCCAGGAAATAATGCCCAAGTCAAATCAGAGTGATCAGTAAACTAATGACACCGTGCACAACCAGACACTGACTACCCTGGTAGAACGTAGCAACTTCCTCCTTTCTGTGTCAGCTCCTGAGACTGCAGCTGCTTGGAGCATGCACTGTCTCTCGTGGTACACACACTGAATCTCCTGCCACAGATAACACTGACTGTAGGTGCAATTACAATAAACGATACAA